TACTGAAAGCACTTATGCCCCTAAACAGCCTTCGCTCCAGAAAGTGGCATTAGAAGTAAAAAATAGTGATGCTTCATCTGGCTGGTTGAGACCTGCTGGTTATTTTATATCTGTGAATTTGGGAGGGAAAATAAGGTGGGTTTTTTTATTTAGCTCCTTAGAATTCTCCCTTCAATCTGATATTCAGGTACCTCAGGTTCCTTTTGGATGAGCCATGAAAGATAAGCATGAAGTTTTAATGCTTTATAGATACCAAGAGGCAGTAAGTGGAATTGGTCCATGTTATTTGGGATGTGACTGCCAACTTAATGTAAGAAATTTAAATAAGTTTGATACTTTAAGCTACCTTTTTTTCTGTCAGGATCTAAATAAAATTGATTCATTTTAAGGGCCAGATCTAGTTGTTAAATTGGTCAAATGTAGTTTTGAGCTTAATTAGTACTTTGCAGAGGTCTTGACTTCAAAATTTCAGGGGGAAAAAAAATGATGTTCTCCCTTGGTTGGCTCTCTCTTTCAGATTATCTTCGCAAGGAAATTTGACAGCCCATTGTAACGGGTGAGGGTTTTACTAACTGATCAGAAGATAAAGCATGTGATTATAAGCTAAAATAATATTGAGGATACTTTGCTACGCTGACAGCAAAGTTTGCCAGACTTTGACTTGAGCAAAGCAGTCAGTCGACAGTCTCAGGAAAAGTATTTGCTATTTTTATGTTCTCCTGCACACCCCCAATCATTCTGCTTGTCCTTGTCTTATTTTACTACTTGTTACTTTTGCAGTTGATTGTATTTCACAAGGAAAAAGAGGGGGGAAGCAAATCGATTTATAGTTACCCAGAGGAGTTCAGGAGGATAAGAGGCTCTTACAGCAATATGGGGGGGGGATGAAGTAGTGGAGAATATCCTTTAATTAATGAGGTGAATGAAATTATGATGATTCTAAAATGGCTGGTTTACTTAACTCCTTTTAAATTGATCTTTAAACAGGCTAAGTTTATTAAAATATTTTAAAAAGGGAAAACAACTGAAGACCTGCAAGAATAACAGTTCTAAATAATGTTACTGTAGTTATTCATTAAAAATCAGTAGATAGCTGGCAATGTTGGAACATGTTCAGTAATACCCACGTTTTGCAATATTTGTTTTGGGTATTTAATGGAAAATTCCCAGTTCTTGCAGTTGTTTTCAATGCATAAAACTCACTCAGAAATAGTGTTTCTAGATCTCATGCTTGTGCAGAAAAGCACATGAAAATGTAAATAGTTCAACGTCAAGAAGACCAGTAAGAAGTATGTCAGATACAGTATGTGTTGTGTATGTATGTGACAAAGTGAGACCAGCGAGAGACACTGTGTCTGATTTTGATGTTCTGTTCTTTTTAAGTGTTGAAAAATCATACAAAAGTTGTCTAACTAAAAAGGTTGGACGAATAGAATAATACATTGCATGGACAGACAGATCAATCATTGACTTTGGGATGTGTTGGTTTGTTTTTTTTTTTCCCCAAATTGCTAACATTTCCCAGTGATTATGTTAAACATCTTACAGTGACTTTAATTTGACAGTAGGTTTGCTGCTCTTTGATTACTTTCTTCAAGCCTTTTAGAAGCAGTACACAGATTAACAGGAGTCTGTAGAACACAAGTTGGAAATCATTGACTGTCTGATTCTCACGGCAGAGGATCGCCTTGTCCAGCAGCCCTTGCATCCCCGTGTGATTGAAATTATGCACATGCACACCGGATCCCCGCTGCATCAGAGTGGGACAAAGTGGAGGCCAGATCACTTTCCCACACACAGCTGTGTACAACAGAAGGTCAACCATTTCTTTTGCATCTAAAAACACTGCAGTTCACTATTTGTAATTCACTAGTGATTCACTAAAGGGTTACGTGTAATTCACTAAAGGAGATTAATTTGGCCTGAGAACCCAGATCTAGAAACTCAGGGCTGACTTTTTAAACAAATTAGGAATCACACCCAGATTTTAAAGGGAATGACTGGCCATGGCCACAAGCTGCTGCAGGAAATTCAAGTTCTGTGTGACTTGTCATTTTTCAAGCCATCTAGAAAGTCATGCTTTGGCCCGGTGTGAGTTTTTCAGTTCATGGGAATAGAAGGACAAAAGTTTTGGGTTTCTAGGTCTGTGACAAATGGGAGAGTAAACTAGATAATCTAAATTATGTTTTAGTATTAAACATTGAAGAATCAGTAAAGTAGGAATTTTGTGAAGAGGTAGTTGTGGATGCAGGTTCTAGTTCATTAAATTCTCCAGTTGAACCAGAGTACTTGAGCACATGAAACTTGATGTTGACAGATAAATGATCCAGAAAGTGATGACATTAGAAATAGTAAGAAATGCCAAAAATGAGTTTGTCTCTGAGGAAAGGCAAGCTGGCATATCTACTGAAAACCATCTCAACGCCAGATGTTTAAGAAAAGATTTTCTCTTTGAAAACCTTGCTACTCAGAGCTGACACGGGGGCTTTCAGCCTCTATAGGAGTTTGTGATGTGAGTCAGTAAGTCAGCGTGACACTTCTCACAAAGCTTTGAGAATAGGATTGAGCAGCCCTGCCTCCCCCAACGCAGAGGCCAAACCTAGAACACAGTGTCTGTTTCCAAATGCTCCTTGTCAAGCTCTGAACGTCTCAGTCTGAGATGCGACTTCCAAATTTTAGTTGTTACAATTCCAGTCAGTCACTAGTCTACTGCTGCATTGGCTGCTGTGCCCTCCTTTTAGTAGAATAATCTGGGTGCTTGTCTTTTAAAATTTAAAATGGCTTGTACGTTTGGAGTAATCAATTGTCCAAAGGACAGCACATTCCTGTGTTGGACTGAAGCACTTAGATGGCTGTGGTCCGTCTGTCTTCTCACAGTCATTTTCTTGGATGGGAGTCATCCCCTTGCATTGTCCTCCTGCTTCCTTCTCCCACATACACACTGTTGAAACCATGAAAGGGGCTCAGTAGTTGCTTGATGAGGAACTTGTTCTTATTTCTGTATTTTCCAGGCTTACAAATGTCATTTTTGTGGATTCATGCATCCTGGCTTCGTAGCACCATGTCCGTACAGTTACACTCTAGCTACAGCTCTACTAAGTGAGCCCGTTCTTGGTGCTGTTCTTCAACCCTAAGGCCGTTTGGCCACATCCATCCTACCAGACTCTCTTAGCCATAAGACTGAGTGTCTACATCCAAACAAGGTGTTTGTGGTTTCTATTCCATGCAGAATACTGAAAAAAGCCTGTAAAAATTGGTCAGGAGTGCTCTGGTTGTGCTGGACCAACACTCTGCCAAAGACAGTTACAGTGATTTAATAACGCTGCAGATGACTCCGTGTAGGTGCTACAGTGGCTCTTCCTGGGCACACTTTTAATTTACTAGTATTGACATGGCCATACCCTCTGACTCAAGGATAGATCTGTTCCCACTGCCTAGTCAGGTCTGTGTTGTGAGATGTTACTCCCCTGAAGAGATTCCCTTGCTACACCTCCAAAACCTACAGGCTTGGTTTACTTTGTTGTGATTCATGTATCTGAAAAAAAAGACTAAATGCAGCAATTGAAAAGGTTTTGTCACTCTGTGGCTCCTGTTGGGGACTTCTCTGTGCCAGTGCAGAAATGGAAATGAGGAGTGATCTTCAGAATTTGCAAAGAGAAATAAGCAGCCCTGTCCCTGGAAGGTCTGGCATCATCATGACAGCCATCATCCCTCTTCTGGTTTTTGCAGGGTCCTTGGAATTCTTCCTTGACTTCCCTGAGGCTGCTGTTTGTGTGCTCTCGCTCTTAGGGATTGAACATTAGCTCTGTCATGTCTCCTGGAGTTTGAGTGATCTCTTCACCCTGCTCTCCTGCAGAAATTTTAATAAACCCTTGACTCCTAAGAAGATTCGCAAGAAGGATGGCAAATGATTGGATCTCTTTGCCAGGTTCTGTCTGCCCTCCATCTGCCATCCCTTCTTCTCAAGATCTTGAGTTCTGAAGGAGGTGATCTTGTCATTTGTGTGACATTTGGATCTGTAGTGAGGAGACTTAGGAAGGAAAAGAAATTAAGGGAGCATATTGTGATTGGGGTTTTTTCAGTTCCATTTCTGGGGTTTGCAGCAAATACATGTTCATTGTTCTGGAGCTTTGGGAAGTTTAGGAGTTAAAAATGCTTTTGATGAGCCACCATGATGATCGAGTTACATGAGAAGTCTGCCTTTGGAGGGGAAAAGGCTGTAGACTTACTTCTTTAAATGAAAGCTCAGTAGTAATTGGATGTGCTGCACTTTCCTTGTTAGGGCAGGCGATCTGTGACAACATTCCAGGTTCAAAAGTTACTAACTTCAGAAATCAAACTTCAGAAATGGGACTTCAGTCAAATCAACTTTGGTCCTACAGGCCACTAGAATTTCCGATAGGTATGTTTTTATCTTCTTTTTTTCAAGGTAGCAACAAAAAGTTAGGGCAACTTGAACTCTTTGTACTTGAGATTCGAAAGAGTTGAGATTCATAAATCTCACGTCATAAGTGGTTAAAACTTCTCCAGAAAATCACAACCTCTGGCCTCAACGTAACAGTTTTGGAATCCGGGATTTCTGTCTGGTGGATACTTAGCAATGGGCAAAATTTTGTCTGAAATCAAGTTGTAGCCTTAATTACTGAGCAACCAATGTGTCTCTGTAGCAGTGGTTTATCAAAAGCAAAAGGGTACTAACTGCAGGTTCATTGTAGAAGGTGCAGAGAGTGCTAGCAGAAAAGAGAAATGCTATTTGAGCACTTCACCAAAAAAAAAAAAAAAAAAAAAAAAATAGGCCTTTCTGCTACACAGTGAGTCTAGCATTCAGGGGAGGTTTCCCGCTGAGCTTGTTTGGAGGTGGACTGTTGGGCTGCCAACTCTGTCGTGTGTGATAAAGTTTCAGACCAGAATTGCTCTTTCCTGCGTGTAAGGTACTTTTCACGTACCACAGAGAACTATTGAACTGAAGTCTTTGCTTTTACATTTTACCTTGTTTTCAGTCTGCTGGAAACCATGTCTCACTACACAGACGAACCAAGATTTACCATAGAGCAGATAGACCTGCTTCAGCGCCTGAGACGTACGGGAATGACCAGACATGAAATCCTCCACGCGCTGGAAACCTTGGATCGTCTTGATCAAGAGCATAGTGACAAATTTGGAAGAAGGTCTAGCTACGGAGGTGGTTCCTACAGCAACAGTACCAACAATGTCCCAGCATCTTCCTCTACAGCTACAGCTTCAACACAGACCCAGCATTCTGGGATGTCCCCATCACCGAGCAACAGTTACGACACCTCCCCACAGCCTTGCACTACTAATCAGAACGGGAGGGAGAGTAACGAGAGGTTGTCTGCGTTCAATGGGAAGATGTCACCTACCCGCTACCCACTTGCAAACAGCTTGGCTCAAAGGTCATACAGTTTTGAAGCTTCTGAAGAGGACTTGGACATTGATGACAAAGTGGAGGAACTGATGAGGTTAGTAGTCTTTATAAATTGGAAAGTCAGAGTGAGCAATTCCCTCAGAAGAAATCTGCATGTTGGAGGACTGCTGTAGTAGTGAGAGGTTGTTACCAAGAAAGCAGGAACTGCTTTAGACAGTTATTCCCCTGATGGTCACTATCTCAGTGTCTCCCACCAACCCCTGGCTGTATGTGGATATCCCACAGTCTGTTTTACTGTGGAAATTTTTTTTTTTTCCCCCCTCATGCTGTACCAAAAATTGAAATCAATTTTAGCACGCTAATTTTCCACCCCGCTCTTATTCAGAAGACTTCTGACTGTCAATGCACATGACCACTCCTCCTCTATTTCATTCCTATTGTATTTTTTTCCCTATACAAGGGGAGTGGGGGATCTGCTTGGTTACTGCTTTTTGCTGGGATCCGCAGAGCGTGTATGTTATCTGTTTATAGTTTGTGGTAGGGGCTGACTCTGGGATTTGCACAGTCTGCAGTTAGCGTAGGAAAATACAAATAATAAAGAAGCAGAAGTCTTCAGTGAGAGCCAGTTGGGGTTGTTTTTCCAGACTGACCTTCCTTTACTTTTAATGGCTTCTTTTTCAGTGTTATGGCAAAGATAAAAGGAGGGGGATTATACCACTGAGGATGAAAGTCAGAGTCAGTGGGCTTGATGACAAAAAGAAGTAAGAGGAAAGGCCAAATGTCTCAAAACAATTTTGGTCATAATGTTGGAATGTCTTCTTTTTTTTTTTTTTTCCTCCAAAAAATTGCAACACTTATGAAGTGTTTTGAGAGAACTAGGGTCTGTAAGCTCCAGGGTGAAAATACATTTGAAGTAGTTTGGAGATTTAGGGTAAAGGTGTGGCTTTTGGGGGAGAAGATTAGAGGTGAGCAGTAAGAAAAGCTGATCAACCTCATTTACTGTCTGCTGCAGGATGATAGAATAATGTAGGAAGGTGGTGAGTATAGCAGTACACAGGAGTATCCGTTACTGGAGTTTAATCATTCCTTTGAGTTTTGGGTTCCTGTGCAATGAGTCTCAGGTAATGCTTTTAGTGCTTATTTAAACTGAAACTACTTTTATTTGCAGGCATATGGAAGATGTGTTGGGTACAGAAATAAAAATGAACCCACCACATAGCATTTCTTTTGCATTTACATTTGCAAGCTTGAATCTCTCTTGATTGCTGCTAGGGCAGGAGGGGAGAAGGGGAAGAGAAAATTACCAAATAGTAAAGCCTAATAAAGTCTGGTTTAATTGTCTGCCTTTCTCAGAAAGGGAGGAAGAGTAGGGAAAAGCATGTGTTTACTGCAATTGAAATTTGCTGCATATCACAGTCCCTGTGCAACCTCCAAATTATTTTGGTTCTAGCATAGTTTTAGTCCCTTCTGAACGATCTTTGCACACCTTGTAAAAATCCTACAAAGGCTTTAAGTAACTGGCACTTGTTCATTCAGTGCAAGCTGTGGACTAAGCCAGTCAAGGTGGGGGGGTAGAGGTTGCAAAAGCTTTTCTTCTTTGGGTCTTTTCCTTGAAAGGTTGGGGAAGGCTTGTGTATGTATATTCATTTGTGTAGCTAACCATGCAGACCCTGCTATCCTTTATTTTTTATTTTTGTGCCTCATTTTTATGACTGAGGTTTTTATGCTGGTATGAGAGATTTATTCATCCCTGTGTAATGAAACTTTGTACATTCCATATGGCAGTGCTGCACCTAATATGAATTATATAGGACATGAGTCATCCATTCCCCTGCTAGGGTACTTTGATCAAACGTGACACTTGTTAAAAGAAGTGTCCACTGGTGAGGCACTTTTTGAGTATTTTAATGCCTGCCTTCCCCACTCCCTGTCCCCTAAATAAAGGAAATAAAGCCATTTTGCATCTTCAAAGTGCACTTTGGTCTGTCCGTCTTTTTGTGTGTTCTTTTGTTTTTTTGTTTTGGTAGGAGGGACAGCAGTGTGATAAAGGAGGAAATCAAAGCCTTCCTAGCCAATCGGAGAATTTCCCAAGCAGTCGTTGCACAGGTAACAGGTAAGAGCTCGGGGAGTCCTTTCTTCATTTTGGGAAACTGTGTCTAACTGCCTATCCGTGCACGGTGCAGATGTTGGAATACTGCTTGGCTTTCTGCATTGCAGTGCAGATCTGTCAGCTTAGTCATGATAATGTATGCCTTTGATTTAAGACCCATTGTCCCGCACATCATGGAACTTCCCCAGTGAATCACTTTTTCTTTTTTTTTTTTTTTTCTCCTTTTTTTGTGGCTTGTGCTAGCAGATTTTATTTTACAGCATTATAATAAGCCCGAAGTTCTTATCTTAAAATGAAAACGGTTTTCCTTAATTCTTAAATTGTTTGTTGAGTGCGGTGAATAGATGCGTATCTGCATCTCTGTATATGGAGAGAGATATAATATATATTTATATTATAAAATATATATGAAAGGTCAGGAGACACAGCTATAGCTGGTATCACTACACCCAGGAGTCAGATTATGATGGTGTGAAGTTTTTCAATCACTTGCCTTTAAGTCACAATCAGTGACTCAAGGTTGAGGGGATGACCATAGTAGCTCAGATTTTACCTAGAAGTAATTCTCTTTTTGCCTTTTGCCCCATGCCTTATCTCCTTCACGTTCAAGATAAGTGAACAGGCTGCAGTGATACCACTTCTTCTTTGGGTGTGTTTCCAGAGCTTTACACAAGGATTAATAAAGTCTTACTGCTCCTCTGTGGGGCGGGGTGCTATACAGGCTCACGCTGCTTGTCCAGAACAGTGTAGCTGGGAGCATATTTAGAATCACAGAATCATTTAGGTTGGAAAAAACCTTTAAGGTGATCGAGTCCAACTGTTAACATCGCACTTGGCACTGCCAAGGCCACCACTAAACACTGTCCCTAAGCACTACGTCTGCACATCTTTTAAATACCTCCAGGGATGGGGACTCCACCACTGCCCTGGGCAGCCTGTTTCAATGTTTGACAACCCTTTTGGGGAAGAAATTTTTCCCAATACCCAATCTAAACCTCCCCTGGCAAAACTTGAGATAAATTTCCACTTGTCCTATCACTTGTTACTTGGAAGAAGAGACCAAACTCCACCTCACTACAACCTACTTTCAGGGAGTTGTAGAGAACAATAAGGTCTCCCCTGAGCCTCCTTTTCTCCAGACTAAACACCCCCAGTTCCTTCAGCTCCTCACAAGATGTGTGCTCTAGATCCTTCACCAGCTTCGTTACTCTTCTTTGGATGCACTTCAGCACCTGTGTTTTTAGGATGAAGGCTTGATAAAATACCAATAGCTTAATCCCATGTTATACCTGTAACACTCTTTTTTTAACCCAAGCTTGAATAAAGATCTTGAAATATATAATTTTTACAGTTCCCTGATGACTAGGAATGCCAAGCCAGCAAGAGGGAAGTTGTTCTTTTATGATATTTCCAGTATTTGAAATGCTATAAGAACCCATCTGGCTGGGAGATCTGGGTTTGCAGACATGCTAGCCGTTGAGGTCGGCAGGCAGAAATGGGTGCTTGAGCCATGTTGCCAGGAATTCCTTCCACGTCTCCAACTCTCCTCTGCGATCTTGGGCAAAATTACTTGTCCTTCCCTGATTTCAATTTCATCTGTAAAATTATGAGATTAAGGTTTTGTGTAACTTTAAAGAATGTTATTAGCCTTCTCAATGTTAGCACTAGTACTTCAGAAATTAAATGCTGAGTCTAGTTGCTTAAATTGTACCTGACCTCTAAAGTTTTGGTAGTGAGTGGGTCACTCCCCTACTTTTGTGTAGTCCTTGCCTGAATATAGTCCTGGAATAACCCATTTCTGAATTAACCTCTGTATAGCACCCTTCACATCTACTAGCAAGTCAAACTAGCTCCCCCTTCAAGATAAGTAATGCAAAGAGGGAAAAAAATTGCAGGAAAAAATATTTCCAAAAAAGCCAGCACTTTTTTTTTTTTTTTTTTTTTTTTTTTTTTTTAAATCAGTGGGACTACTGCATGCGAGGCTGTTGAATCAGAATCACCACAGCAAAACCCTGTGTGCATCAGAAGGAACTGATGTGATTATAATTAGCTAGGTATCTTGGTGCATGTCTTGATACCCCTGCAGGCAGACTGTAGGGAAGTCAAGACCAGTCTCTTCCCATCTGACCATTTTGCTCTTTCCATCCTTAACCTGCTCTCTTGGATTTCAGTTGTTGAAGTTGTTAAGTTGCTGTTTAGCCTTTGGGAGCTTTCATTGTTTGCCAGGCTATTCCTCCTGTTAGTAATGCACTGTCCACTTCATACAGAGTTGACTAAGTTTCATACCCATCCTAGTCAACCCTTCTGTGTAATGGGGGGGGGAATCCAGAATATACTCAACACAGTGACCAGAGAAAATATTCCTAGATGTCTCTTTCGAGCCTGGCAGTGGGACAGCACAAAGACTGAACTAATGGCACTGTGTTGTTTTGTTTTCAAGCCAAATCAATGGGAAACCAAGTAGATCTAAAGGTTAAATGGCTGTGTCCTTTTATGGACGAGCCAGTAGTGTTTCCGTGGACCTTTCAAATAAGAAAAGAAAGCAATATTTTGCACATGATGCACCAATCTGTTCCTCCTGCTACCCTTTGCAGTTGAAGGGTGTCATCCTCCATATGCTTGGTGGGAAGGTCTATGGGAGCTGATTCATTTTAAATATAACCCATAGCCTTGTGTAAGCAGATGTGTAGTACTTATGTGTCACTATGAAGTACATAGTTATGGCTTATCTGAAAGAAATAGTAAATCTCAAAGAGATGTTTGAAGGGACCAGATTAAAGAGTGTGCTCAGCACTACCGAGGGGAAACATCAGCTTCCTTTCAAAAGCACAGTACGGTGAAGAGTGACTGAAAATAGCTCAGGACAGAGATCCAGAGCAGAAAGCATGTGTCCCAGGGCGCTCACTTCCAGCCTTGTCTTAGGCCTGATGAGTGCTAGTTGACTTGTGTAGTCTTCAGATGTATCCAACATCCCTTCCCATTCAGATGTAAAACGGGCTCCCAGGAAAGGCCTATAAACTACTTTTGGTTCACTAAAAAAGCAGTTTGTATAGACAAAGGTAATGCTTTTCAGAATATACGATCCCCAGTGGTGTCATCTCAGTGTTTACAGACTTAGTCTTACTGGTAAAGCTGTTCTGTAAATAATTCAGTAAACAAGAGGAAAAATAGATAAATAAAATCCAAAGTGTGGTCAGTAACAGATGGCATAGGGGAGGACCATAAGAGAAATAATACCTTTTCAGAATACTGTTCAGCTTCCAGTGATCCGTGTCTCAGGGTCCTCTTTATTATATTGCACATCGAGGTGGAACCCTGCTCTGGCCAACAAAGAGGCTGTGAAAGAGCACGAAGGGGGGCAATTGTGCAAGAACAGATCAGCAAACCGCAGATGCTGGTGTGCTTACAGCTTCCATCACCGTTTGTCGTAATACAAACATAGCAAGCTGTTTCTGGAGGCTGTAGTGCAGGTGTTGGGCATATTTGACTTGCCTGTCTGCTGGCTACCACCCTGCATCAGCTGGAAGTCATTTGTTTAGCACTGGAAATAAATGCAGAATAGCATGGCCTTGGCTTTTAGCGTTCATCTCTTCTGCCTTGGGAAGAGAGGCAAGAGAGAAATGAAAAATTTATGGCTGGCTCTGTCCAGAAGGAGAGTTGTTTGGCTTGGCTACCCATGCTGTCAACTTTGTCCTTTCAATCTCTACCAATTTCTTTACTACTCCAAAAAAATTGTGTGTGTAGCAGGAGGGGAGAATGCCATGGAGAGGGGAAAGGAGTAGTAGTGCATCTTAACAGTGATATTAGACCTTTAGCTAGGAACCTAAAATCTTTTCTTCCTTTTCTTAATTACAGTTGGGTTTGAAGTTGGCCGAATTAGACATACAAGTGATGAACTTTAGCTGATCCAGTGTATTTGCATGTCTTTAAATTACAGGTCTTGGATTAGCTCGTCAGAGAGTATAAAACTTCCCCAGGACTTAGGACCGTATTTGTCCCCATTCTGTATCTTACCGTGTTCTGTCCTTGGTGCAGGAACCTCCACTTCAATTTCTAACCCTTGAAACTTCCATTTTACCTTATTTCACTGATTCCTCAAGCCACTTAGGATTTCATTATGAAATACCTGTCTCCTTTTTCTCATTTTAATTCTCATATTGCATTGTATAAGAATACACATTCCTGTATCACCCACAATCCTACCAAGCACACTGAGCAGCCTGGTATTTACAGACTGCAACCATAAACAGCTTTTCCTTTTGTTTTTCCTGTGCTGCAGCGCAAGGGGATGGAAAGTGATGGAGAGGGAGGATACATGAGAGAGGAACACGGAGCTGAAGGTTAAAGTCAGCTGTTGCAGTAAAACAAATTTTTTAGGCTCTCTCAGTCTTTATAAAATTACCAGAAACTTTAAAAGTCATTTAGATAATGAATCTGACAGGGAAAATTAAACCTGGAAGACATACTGCAGGGCTGCCTTGTGTACTGAGAGAAGAGGGCAGATTGGAAAATAGTAACAGAGTATTAAATGGTGACTTGAAAATAAAGGAATGATTGATAAGAAGCAAAAACCTAGCATAACACTTATTAGTGCTGGTCCTAAATACAGGAGCTGCTTTTTATAGAAACTTTTTTAATGGTGTCTGTAATAAGATAAACAAGAAGCACTTGGGTTGGGCTCTGTATAAATAATCTCCTACTGATAAGAAAAATGACAGTATAAACAGGAGCTAATAATAGTTCCTGCTGAATTTCCTATCTTGTTATTTGAAGCTCCTTTTAACATAACTGCGGCTTACTCGGGGGTAGGTATTTAGCCCTACATGTGGCAGGTGAGATGCCAGATTTTTATTAACTATAATTTGAAGTCTTGTGCTGCGATTCGTATCTGGGTACCAAGTAAGTTGTGGTCAGAAGGCAGAGGATGAAGAGATAAATGTAAACTTACTAAGAGATGCTGTCTCTTAGATTCCAAATGCAGATGGAGGGTGGGGGAAATGTTTTCAGAAACTAAGATCTTTCGGTTATGTACTACACTGAAGGAGAGAGGGAGGAATATGCATAGATGAGCCCTTTGCAGCCAGGCTAAATGCTTTGATGGATGATGCCTCTGCGAGGTTTGGAAATAGTACCTTTTCTATTTTTTACACTTAGGGAGTGAAGGAACAAAAGCCCCTTTGCTTTCCTGAGGTCACGGTGGAAGCAGTCTGTTGCAGAGCAGGAATTTGAATTTGGATTTCTCAATTCTTAGGTCACTACTATAAAAACTGAACCACCATTTAAAAAAAAAAACAAAAACCACCAAACAAAAAACCAAACCAAACAACAAAAGAACAAGAATAAAATGCAGAGGTCTCGTGAAAAAACAAAACAAACCAAAAATCACCACATAACACATAGAGCCTTTCCAGTGTGCAGTTCTGCTAACCTTTCCAATTCTGCTTGTACAGTTCAGCCCTGTCCTACTGTCTGTGCCTTGATATGAGATCTTCAGGACACAACTCGATATTATGCTAACCGCACACAGCACCTAGCGTGGTGGAGGGCAGCCTTGAAGTGCTGCTGTAACATAAATAAAATCCCTCAAGGTTTGGAACCTACACACAGGGATGCTGAACAAATCCAAATGCAAAGTGGAGCTTAACTAATTCCATTGGAAAGAGAGTTCAGAAAATTACTGAATTACTGATTATCTGAAGTGACAAGAAGCCAGATTTTGAAAAACATTTTCCTTCCCCCCCCTCCCTTTTTTTTTTTTCTATACTCATGACAACAACAAGGAAAGATTTGTTTTTCTATGATTTTGATCTCTGCAGGTTCTCTGTAAAGAAGCCTTGCTAATCTCCTAAATTGATAGATGTCCTTTGCAAGCACGTATTATATGAATCTAGGACGTTGCTTACAAACTGAAGAATTAAAACAGTCAGTTTCTTTCTTCTCCAAATCTGACGTATTTCAGGTGCTTCTAAAACTCTCTCCTGAAAGAAACATTAAAGAAATGCAAAGTAGAGTTGCTGAACAAATCTATCTGTGAAGGTGAAAACCAGTTACCAAAGACTTGATGAATAGCAGTTTTGAGGGTTAGGAGGAGATTTGTACTGCAGATACCGGTTACCTTCTCTTGATGATGCATTTTGCCATTGATTTTATGTATTTGAAAGGGAAACTTTTTCCCCAAATAATTTATATAGGAGAGAGGGGGGCTGGACAGAAGAGCATGCTTGTACTGTCATCTCCATTTTGTTTATAATTAGGAAGTGTAACCTGTTACGGGGAGGAGTGACATGCGATACAAGAAGTCAGCATTTGAATTACCATAATCCTTTGTGATTACTGCTTCTTTCTTCAGTGTTTTCTGTGAGAAAGCTAGTTGTGCTCATTACAATGCGTTCGTGTCCCTGCTGATGCTGAGCCCAGAGGATGGCAGTCTTCCTTGAGGTCCGTGGCTCAGTTTGAGAGTGAATTTCCTCAAGACAGCTGGATTTTCAGTACTCCAGAGAACTTATTTCATTAATCTGCTTCTGGCAGCAGGATGATTTCTTTTTTCCTGCCAGTGCAATTTCCTAAAGTAGCGTGATTACAGACAATGTGACAGGATGGTAGTACTAGTCATTGTCCCTATGAGTCAACTGTGTAAAACCCGCTTGAGATGCAAGAAACTCTTGACATGACAATTTGGGGGGCTTGGGTTTTTTTAATTGAAAAGAGAGAAGGATGGGTTTGTGATTAAGACACTGTACTGGGATCTAAGAGATCAGTTCTTCTGCTACGGACTTTGCATGTGACCTTGAATCAGTCAGGCTACTGGAATAGATAGTTTTGGGGCCTCTAAACCAAGCTGAGGTACAGATGAAGGATATTTTATATCTTAAAAACAAAAAGAGAAGGAGTGGTATAGGTAGAGGAAACCCTTAAGAAGCTCAACTCTTATTACAGATCTCTGAAGCAAGGAAAGAGGATAATAAAAACCAGAAATGAATGATAAGAAATAAGACTTAAACCAGTTTTCTAGAGGTCATCCACTGCATCCCTATGACCAAACCCAAGATCAGGTGCCTAAAGCCATACCTGGTGTGTTGTCTGGGTTTGCAGCATTGCTGTAGAAGTCTGCTAGCTAAAAATGCAAAATGGGCTGTGGGCTATGGACTGCAGTGCTGTTCATGAGATACCATAGTCAAATAATTATGTACTGGGAATTTGCATTCGTTGAATCTGTACATCTCAGTGCCCTTTACAAAGCTCTGTTTTGCAGAAGCGACTTTATAAACTGTGAGGACTCGCAACGAGTCAGATGTGGACATGGCAATACACAGCTTGAATCTTTTGGCTCCTGCTCCTTTGCTTTGTCTCGAGCACATTGTCTGAAGTGGCTAACATCTGTACCACTTTATGATAGTATCAGGCAGCCTCTTGAGCAGAATTTGGATTTTCCACTATACAACTCATTGAAGATACTTAATCTCTATAATTTTTATCTAATAATGCTTTACATTTATATCTTACGTTATCTAAACACTCAACAAATACTAATTCACTGCAAAAAGTCTAAGTTGACTGTAGTAAACAAGGAAATTAATGATGTTGTTACCAATTGATTAATAGGAGCCATGCAGCCAAAAGCAGTGAGACACAAACATTTGTGTCCCACAGCACTCTGTTAAAGAAATGGCTTTTATAAATCACAACAGTGAAGGGCTGCAAATTTTCAAAACCTGGTCTTTCCACTGGCGATCAGGCATCTAGATTGCATGATTTCAGCGAGCCTTGTTTTGGGCTGGAGAGTTTTGTCAACTTATATTGACTTCTTTGGGTATTAACTTTTATGTTTCCACAGTTACTTGATGTAAACTTGGCAAAATCTGAGGCTTGTGTTTGCTTGAGTAATTCCACTTCCCGAGCAGTATAAACTCAATTATATATCCCCGTGTGGGTCCTGGGGGTAGTCAACTCTTGACTGCTCCAACTGTTTCTGAACTGTTCCAGTTGTGGGGCAAAGGCAGCATCTGGGAGGGGATGTTAAGAAGATCGCTAGATGTATGGGCAACAAAACCAAACCAGGGGATAGTTTGTGGGAGGAGCGCTACTGAATAGCAGTAAGCTTCTGTACTTGGAGTAAAACACACCTATCCTTTTCCCCCAGGACAATTGAGACTTCATAGGCTCTGGAATTTTGTACAGGAAGAGCAGTTAAGATCATAAACCCTGTGATTTAAAAAAATCTGGTTGGAGTAAACCCACCTGAATATGATACCTGAGGGTCAAATTGAATCACTGTAAAGTTAACTAGCTTTAGTGTTCAACACAAAAAAAAAAAAGAAAGCACGGTTAACTTCTCTCCCCCACCCCCCCCATTTTAGAAGTGGTAAAACTACAGGGGGCTGTTTTTCATGAGTTAAATATGATTATGAGATCTTATAAAACCTTGATGAATCTCAAGAGGGGAGAGGTAGTTCAGTTTCGGTGTGAAAACCAGCCTTCTACCTGCCTCGGTATTATCACCAAGCAGGTGGTAGCACAGGTGGTGTTCAGCTGTATATTGTTACTTTGGAGCATCCCCTAAAACTTTAGTTCTCAGGAGGGTTTAAATGTTGTTAACCCGTTCTGATAGCTGAGGAACCTTGTAGAAAGCACAGAGAGTAGAGAGTCTTCCTACCCGAAGTACTGCTTCAGTTATTTAGCAAACTACGTATTTTCTGATATTTTCAACTAAGCCTACATTCACCTCCTAGTGCACTTTTTATTTGGTTCTCTCACTCTAATCATTTCTGTTCCCTTTCTGCGTTGATCATTCAGTGTCATGCTTTAGAAATAACTGTATTAACTTCTAGGGGGTTTTCCCCTTTTACTGTTTTCTTATAAGTCTTGCTTAAAAAAACTCTGGAACTTTTTGTCCCTAGTCGTGCTTGGATACATAGAGCTTGAATCCTGCTTTGCTGACAGACAGCTGCCATTTCTGTTTTGTTTTCTGGCCGTTGTTAGAGCTGCTGATAGTTGGCTTGCTCCATTTCTGGGCTGATTTGATCTGTATCACATAAACTGTTTCTGTGTTCATCTCCCTTCTTATTCAAGCATTGAATGATAATGATCTCATATCATTTATATATAATAGTGGGTAAGGGACTTGTTCCCATTTCACAGATGAAGAAATTGAAGAACCAGGGAAGTTGTGGACAATTCGAGTCAGCGGTAGATGTGGCTTCCCAATTTTTGTGTGCCCTTTTTTTTGTAGATTGATTGTGCTGATTCCAGGATGTACCTTGAGTAAGGTTGAAGATAAGGACAAGGATAAGTTAAAGCAGTTAGGGACAGGGCGGGGGCGGGAAGCTTGAACTCTCTACTTTCTCTGTGATTGAACCATTATGAGTTCCTGGGCTTTGTAAGGCAACACCTTTTATCAGTATATAAGCCACTTTAAAATGTTTTAAAAAGAGCAAGTTTTCTCTTCCTCTTTCTCTCTTTGTGTTTTTTTGTTTTGTTTTGTTCTGGTTTTTTACAGGTATCAGTCAGAGCCGGATCTCCCATTGGCTGTTGCAGCAGGGGTCGGACCTGAGTGAACAAAAGAAAAGGGCATTTTACAGATGGTACCAGCTCGAGAAGACAAATCCTGGTAAACAAATATAGCCTAAACATCTCCTGTTTATTTATGGAAAGAAGCCCTTTGTCACTGTTTTTTTATCATTCACTTCTTGGTGTACTGGAGGGGTATTCCCTCTGACCAGTTTACTTTTTAGGAGGGTAGGAACAAATCTGCACTTTCCTTTGCAGCAAAAGATCCAGATCTGACTCATCCCTAGCTGGCTGTCCAGCACCTCGGCCCCAGTTACTCGCCCTATCCTCTCACCAGCTAGCCAACTCTGGGAGTCAGAACCCATCAGTGAAGTTCTAGTCTGCTAGAACAAAATTTATGCTGAGACTCTTCAGAATGAACAAATAGGAAACATTAATAATGCTGCACAATTAATCAAGTTGCAACAAAAAATACACAGTTTGGTGGAGAGAAACTTTAGGATAACTTCAGAGGGTTTTGGGTTGGATCTCAAGCTTATGGATGGCATATTGATAGGTACAGTGATAAGTTGGAGATGTGTCTCTCAAATCCCACTCGCTTCTCCAAATCTCAAAATAGATCTTAAATATAAAAAGAGAAGTAAAGCTCCGCATTATCTTTAACTAACCAGCAATCTTCAGAATCACAGTTGAATTAATTTCCTTGCATTGTTCTTCTTCATGGATGTTGTTTGACCACAGTTCTTATTTTTCCCTTTAGCAGTTTTATTGTAAAGATAAAAATATTTACATTTAATTTCCTTTAAACAATGACATGATTAAATTAACTGTGTAATTGTTTTAAGGAATTTAAGACTCAAGCTCTCTGATGTGAACTTGGCTTCAATATCCAGAATTCTATTAAGAAAAAGTCCAGTGAAAACAGATCCTCAAAACTCCTGCTTTGTAAGTAAGCTGAAAATCAAGAGGCTCCAGCTGTCAGTTGGCCTGAGAATACTTCAGCTTAAAGTTGGGTGGGTTCAAAGTGACAGCTGAGCCTGTCCTTTCTGTTAAGTGTCTAGAAGATTGTTCTAAAGAGAGAAAGTGCCAAGGGTTGTGAGGTGCTGGCAAGCAGCAGGGATCGCCAGGAGCCTTGGTTTTGCAGCGGTTGGAATTGTGAGACCAAGGATCAGCAGGTTACTGGATACAACCGTTCAGTATCAGCTACGTGGAAAGCCTCAAGTTGCACCCTGTGAAGTAACTCTCAGCCATTTCCTTTTGATGGAAGTTACTGCCTCCAAAATAGTGGAGACAACTTGAGGTTTTTTGGAAGGTGTATTTTGGAAAAAAAACCCAACCCAAGTCCTCTCCTCACAATGAAAACTGGTTTGTGGGTCTTTCCTTTAGCCTTGCATCTTTTCTTGCCGACATCATTTGGAGCTGTTTAAGAAATATATTCTGTGCTGGGATAAGAGTAGCCTTGTCAAACTTAGCACTAAAATCTTTACTTCTTTCTCTTAACCTTCTTTCTTTCCCCATATCCACAAGCTCACATCTTGTTTGTCCTTTCGCTCTTGAGAAGTGTCTAAGGGAGACTTGCAACGCTGAAGGTTACGGCTTAAATTGAAACGAATCATTAACCTCTACTTCTCTGACACGCTGTCCTGCTGAGGTCTTGTTCACTTTTCTTTATACACACATGGAAAAATCTCTACACTCAGACAACCACTCTTGAAACCTTTTTTTCAAGTAAGAGATCTTGTACAGCATTTTCAAGAAGTATAAAAGGCAAAATGGCTTCTCTGCCTCTGTGAAGGGACGATTTGGATGCAGTTAAGTTCCCTTTAGAACCAAATAACATTTGGTTTCTTTAGAGAGTGAGGTAAAGGGGGAAAACCCTTAGGTTTCCTGTAGCTGTTGGAAAAGTTTACTTGAGGAAAAGGTGGTTATATTGATGTATTTAGTGTAGGATAATCCACTGCTTTGAATTATTGCCACCTACTATATTGTAGGTCAGTGTGGCAAGCAAAGAGATAATTAATATGCATATATGCAAGTGTACACAGTATGTTGAGGAAGGTACCAGCCTTGTCCAAGGAATCCTGGATTTAAGTTATTGTTATAAAACCAATTTGGAGCCTAAGTGTTGGATACTATTTAGAGTATCCTGTGATTAGTAGGCTTGACTAGCTGGTCTGTCTGCCTTCTTTAGTCAGAAACAGATGAAATCAGTAGAGCCCCCTGCCATGTTCACAAAGAAGCAGTGTCAAAAGATTGTTCTCCTTTGACAAAACTTAAAGAGATGAAGTGACTGACATGTTTTTTCTTCTATTTGCGCACTTCCTAGGAGATTATGCTTTGCTTTCTATTCTCATATATCCCATTTTTTTTCAATTCCAGCTGGTGGGAATAAAATCTCAATCCTCCTCCTTTGAGTAGCAGAGCAAGGTGTCTCTGTGTATAAGCACCTGTGTGTTTGAGTTACCAATGGGCAAAGGGAGGTCTTTGGGAACTTTTAGTTCCCTTATTTTTTAATTCCTTATTTTGGAAAACTGGATCTTCAGATGAAGTCCATATTCTGACTGAATTTGTGTAGTAATGGAAAGAAAGATATAATCAATTTATGAGCTGTAAAGGAAGAATAGTTGTTTCATGTGGAAAGAACTTGGCAGACCTGTAGTCTTTCCTTGACTCTGCCAGTTTTTCTGTACACCTTGTAGCAAATGATTTCCCCTTTGCACCTCACCTCTCCAACTCCTGGATAAAGATAAGACTGTTCCCTGTGTGACTTGCCTGCCTTGACTGTAAGGTCCTCACAGCAGGGACTTTCTTACTACGCTTACATAAGCAAAAGATGCGTTAGATACAATAAAAGATTTTTTTAATATATATATTATTTTTTCAAACGCACAGTGGTGCTCTATAATGCTTTAAATCATTCACAAGCAGTCTTGCATCTGCTAACCAAAGAACTTTGTGTTGTGGAGGCTTAGGGCAGTTTTTAGACACCACTGTTGAGATGTTCCTAGATGTTGCTCCTATGCAGAAGAGGCTCAGCAATTCCATCACTTCTGTTATTTGCCAGCTTGCTTTGACCTCTTCAATATGCTGTTTGTTGTTTGCTTGGTTTGGATTTCTTATTTGCATGGGTACTTTCTATATTTCTCTTATCTTTGGTGATGGGTCTTTAGGCAACAGCAAACTGGAACATTTCAGAAGAGACTTCAGTCTCATGGATCAGAAAAAAAGACCCCCACTTTTCCTACTGTACACAATAATCTTGCTCAAAAATTTCTTGATCAACATTTTCCTGGTAGGAGTGATGTTGGAGTTAACAGCAATGCTGCAAATTCCAGTGTACTAGTGATTGTAAACTTTTCTGGAAACAGTTGCCAATTAGGGTGAAAGGCACTTTTTTTGTTGAAAGGAAGAAGTCGGTGCTAAATGCTAGTGTTTGAAAGGTCTTTAATCCAATTAATAGGGATGCTTTTCATTTAGATCGGGTTTTGTTTTTTTTTTTTTTGGACAGTCACCACATCTCTTGTGTTTTGTAGAGGACAGAGCATTTTGGCAGTAGATAAATAGTATATGTTTCAGAAGCCAGTGTATGAGTGCATAGAGTCCTATAATGTACTGATTTATTTTTTTTCCCAGAGCCCATGGGGTTTAAATAAATAAATATTTCTTTTTACATTGGTAGTTGTTAGCCTGATTGGTTTGGCCAGCACTGGGTCTTGGGCAATGTGGAAAGTCTGTTACAGACTAACTTTAGCATGTCTTTTGCCTCTGTGCACTGCAAACTGAAGCTGGCACCTAGAAATGATGTGTTGAAGTTACAGATGGATACAGACTGCTTCCATTTAGGCTGGATATTTATTTCTGCCAGTCTTCTGTAATAGGAAGGCAGCTGTGGTCACCTTGGAGAAAACCATGTGCTCTTCCTCCTTGAAAAAAAAAAAAAAAAAAAGTAGTTATTATCAGGATGTAGCATCTCTTGTGATATTCTTATAGCAGTTCTTGTTTACCTATGAAAGAAAAGCCTACCCCTCCCCCCCCCCCAAAAAAAAAAAATCAGGGACTGGATATCCCATGAGATTTGCACTGAAAACGTATTGTTGGTGATTTACTCTTTTACAGACCTGCAGAGAAAATAGTCCCTGGTCTGATCCTTTCCATCCAAGCAATGATCTCTGTAGGGAACCTTTGCTGTGCAGGCTGCTGATTCAAATCTAGCTTGGCTCAGTAGTCACTGAAAGGTGTTTATCGTGTGATCTCAGGTCAGTCTGGCTAAAAATACAGCGTGACATCTGTTCTGATCAGTATAATATATGATAGGTACTTGCTGGAAAGGCTTGCTACTAAATGTTTTTTTGGAGCTGGGAGGTGGCCCGAGGCTTGCTCCAGCCTCTCTGCACATCGCGCCTCTGTGGCAGAGCCTCTCTGAAACATGTGATGTGGATCAGCGATTGCTTGTGATGCTTTTAAGAGCAGGGCTCTTTCTTCAGGATAGTGTCTGGGATGTGCTGAGAGGAGGCAGGCCTTTGCCAGGAGGAATTTTTAGTACGGAGATAGAGCTGCGTTCCGGTTGGAAAGCACCGCTTTTGACTCCTCTGCCGAAAACCCCCCTGCAGCATCCCCAAAGTCGTAGCCCGCGTTTCAGAAAATGCTGGCTTGCACGGAGAAGATTCTGTATTGTTGCAAGAGGTACTCAGCACTGGCAGGTAGTGAGAGATGTCGCTTTTCATTTTTCTCTGCAAAAGGAGTTCTTCCCAGACGGTTCACCTCTATACCTCTTATAGATGTCTTGCTTTTTGATGCATATACTAAGATGAAAATCCTATCCTGCATTTGCTCATTCTGCTCAAGAGAGAAGTTTCACTGCTTCTTAAAAGCTGTTTGAGGGGTTTGTAAAAAGAATCTGACCTAGTAACTAGGAAGTAACTTATTAAGTTGTAAAGAAGCGGAGCTGGGTGGCAAGAAGATTGTGATGAACGGTTGGAACAGCAAAATAAACAGGATCCCCAAGTGCTCGCTTAATTGAGGGGGATGAAGAAAAGCTCCACAGTTACCTTATCAAATGTGGCAACAGTGCATATATTCACCACTTCAGCCACTCAGAGATCCAAGCACATTTTGGACCTCTGTATGCATTCAGATGCTTCTGTCTTTATGTGTGTGCAAAACCAGGGGTGGGTACTTGTAATCTCAGCATACTTCTCTCGTACTGCTGCTGATATTGGTGTTACCCCGTGGAAAAGAGAAAGAGGTAAATTGATCTAGCAAGGCTACTAAAACAAACAAAAAAAGCATCTTCTATTCAGGAAGTGAACATACCAGTAGCAGGAGCAAATTTATGCTTTAAACGCAGATTTATTTTTTTTTTTTTCAACCTTTGTCTGAAAAAATCTCAGGCAAATTTAATGGAATTACGTTGCATCTCTTACTTTGTTAGGCATCACTGATACTCTTGTGCTCTCCCTGTGAAATAAAATCCTCAGGTAGGGAAAGTATTTGCTAAAACAATGCAGGGAAAGCTAATTTCTCATCCTGTTCTCCCCTGCTTCTCTTAAATTTTTTTTTTTTAAGTTTTTTAGTTTTTGAAGTGTACTTAAAACCTAGCAACTTGATACCCAGACCGCTAAACTGTGCGAGTACTAGGAAGAGTTGATAAGGAACTTTCCTTGAAATGACCTCCCAATGAATTGGCAATATAGGAAATATTTAATATGTCAGTAAAACTAAGTAATCTGTGTAGGCTTGTTAGCTGGGAATTAGTAAAAGTCACTGTTGTGCATGCAAGGCAGAGCTTGTGGCCTTCATTTCCTATAGACTTCTTGGGTAAAATTTCTAAATTCTTTTGGACTCCACTACCTAACATAGATGCAAGCCCCTGGCAGTAAGGAAAATACTCATTGTGCATTTCTGGAAAGGAACACAGCCAAATGCATAAATAGATAATTTCTTGCTTTTTAATTGTAGGAATTTGTTTATTGGTTAAACTCTGAAGTTCCCTTAACCCTTTTACTGTGTTTTAAATTAAATAAGCAGTGTTGTTTCATGGACACAGTATGTTTTTATGATTCAATCCTAACCATTCTGAGCAAGTCTGTGTACCTGGAGGGATTTGCTGTCTCAGCCCTGCTTTTACGTGTGCACAATCCTGTATTCCTCCTGTGAGCAGAGCTGCCTGCTTCTCTTGGATCTATCCTGGCTGGTTCAGTGCATGAATTCTAGTTGAGCTCAGTATGCATATGGGATATAGGTGGTGATTGTCTTTTCATACAACTGGGGTTTTTCAGTTTTTGTGCACAAGAACAGCTGTTTCTTCCCTCGAGGGGAAGTCACTGAGCACAAAGCTGTCCTTCAGAATGTACCCTGCTTTACCTACTAATGTCCTATACCAGGTTGCCATCCTCACCAAAGGATATACAAAAGATCGATCTCCCAGTGTATCTTGATTTATCTTGATTTATTAACTGAGAGGCTGTTGTGGAAAGAATCAGGGGTAAGTTTCAAAGGGCCTTTCCTGAAGGCATTGTGCCAAGTTCTGTCTCTTGCTTGACGCTTTCCAGCTCAGGCTTGTTCAAAGGAGGAATATATCCATAGAAAGGGGACATAAGAGGAAAGGTGTGATGTTAATCTGCTTTCAGTGACTTTTTCAGGCGACCTGGCACTCAGGAGCCTGTGTTTGCACAGGTCACAGGGTGTGTTCCTATCGGTGGAGCTATTTCAAGTGTTTACTCAGCTCTTCAGACACATGGAATTTGGTATAAATTTACATTTTGCTTCCTGAGACTGCTGTACAATTAAATAGAAACCTGCTATTTCCCATTTTGTGGCGGAAGAGGTAGTAACACAACCTAAATAAATCCCAGCTGGGGCATAGCTCACCCTTGCTGTAAGACAATTTTCCTCTTGATGAAGACAGGACAGCTCTTCCTAAGTGGCAATCAGCTCAGTTATATCTCCCTTAGATTTCTGTGGTCACCTGATACCTCTGGTTTGGAGGTTGGGGATGGGAACTCTAGCTGGCTTTATGTATCTTTAAGGTGTCTTTGCTTGATAATGCTTTACTTTTTTTAGTTTGAATGGTTTCATCATCTGTCTTGTCTTTTTTTCACGAGCAGGAGTGAGGAAATGGGCATGGTTTTCAATCCCCTAGGAAAACACAGTATTTATTATTCTTAGGGGCTACGTTAAGCATGAGACCCGCTCCTATCCCAATAGAAGAGCCAGAATGGAGACAGACACCTCCCCCAGTCACAGCTACCTCTGGGACCTTCAGACTACGGCGAGGCAGTCGGTTCACATGGAGAAAGGAGTGCCTGGCTGTTATGGAAAGGTATGTCACTTTGGGGGTTTGGAGATGGGGCATTTTAAAGCCAATACAAGTATCCTTTTTCCTGCTCCGGCGAACACCAGTTTCATTTTCATGGACGTGTTTTAGCATCACGCAAGCCAATAACAGTGTAATCATTTGATTCCAGATGATAGAGTAGGAGGAGCCGGCTTAGCCCTTCTGTTGTTTAAAAGAAATGTTATACTGCTCTGGACAATATCTCACTTTTTGTAGCCCCCTAAGACATCTTGTTTTTAGCTCAGTCCGAGTACTGGGGTTTAGCTCTTCCTTTGCTTTTGCAGAAAACTTTCCTAATCGGAGCTCTGTCTTGGTGGGGGTCGGCACGCTCTTTACAGTCTACATTTCTCCTTTCCCAATTTCCTAATTTGTCCTCGCAGTGTATCACGTTAGAGTTGATACTGGCATTTCGGCAGCACTATAATTGTTCAGGATGCAGAACTTTGCCTAACAAGCAGTAGATTCCCTGTCCAAAAAGGCTCTTACAACCCTTTTACATGAGCTGGGAACAGTACAGAGCGAAGTGGATCTTTCAAATACATATGCAGAGTGGCAGGTGATCATTAGAGCTCCCAGCTCTTCAGTCCTGCAGAGACGAAGCACTCTCTGAGCCTGGTCTCCTGGCTGCCTGTGTGCTTTGCCTTTCCCTCTGCTTACAGTAATGTCTCTTTTGTGGATAATATTGTATAATAGAAAAGGGCTAGTGAACTCAAATGTAGTTTAGGGATGAATGCTTGTTTCTGTTAAGGGCTAAATGCCTGGGAGGAGTTTTCTTCCCTCCAAGAGCATGAGGAACCTCCTTTCCATGAAAGCACCTGATGACTCTGTGTGTGTGCTACACTCCTCTCTGGTTTGCAACTTCATTGAGGCCTTGGCCAGCAGATTTTTAGGAGATGGTTTTGCCCTTTGTGTAATGCTTCTCTTTCCTCTTGCTTGCACAAGGGTCTTTGGAACTGAGCAGGAGCAGGACAGTGTCTCTTTTTGTCTAAGCTAAGACCAAAATACTGAGCCCCCTCAGGGACCCAAGCCATTTTCCACAGAAGATGGACATAATTCTGTGCGGCCACTGTGTCTTTACAGGGCTGGCACCAGTATCTTAGGTGTGTGTTTGTTTTCCTATTCTGTCCTGGCACTGCCCTGATGTTTCCAGCTTCAGCTAAAAGTTTCCCCAGAAGACATAACGTAAATGTTTGAAATCTGTTCTGCTTTGCTAGACCCAACTAATGCAAAGTCCTGAAATCTGCTAGTGCAGGGGATTGTTTTTTAATGTCCCCTTCCACACAGGCAGTACGATGTGCTATGCAGGATCTTTAGCACGTTAAAATGCTCGTATGACTGTCCTGATTGCAGTGTGTACCTTCAGGACAGGGCCGTCTCCTTACTAACCCTCTGCCTGTGAAATATTTAATTGCTGAGAAGTAGAATCAGACCGCTTTGGGTATGGGTGTTTCCTTTCTTGGGTTCCATCTGGCCTGAAGTGTGATAACTGCTGTTACTTGCTGTTTGAATGATAGTGCCTTGGCCTTGTTTGTGCTAGGTGCTGTGGAAACACAGGGCAGAAAAGAAAGCTAAGCGAGCAAGCACTACCTTTTCCTCTGTCAGATCTCTCCTTAAAGCCACGCTCTGCTGTGACACGCTCAAGAAGCCAGGCAACCTGTAATTGTTTAGTATGTGTCTGTTAGAAAGGTGTGAGGTTTGTTTTCCTGGATGGAAGAAGCAAGTTGGTGCTGACATTGGAGATCATCCAGTCGTGTGCGGAGATACATACCGCTTGATCTAATTTTTCATCACCCTCTTTCTTTTTCTTTGTAATTCTTGGTTTTGTTCTCTGTGACTTGTGCTCTGCAAGGTCTTTGCTGCTGGGGTTTTCTTCTTATTCTGCTGTTTAATGGAGACTTCTGCCACATTGCCTTAATCCTGGCTTTAATATTAATTTGCAAAGCCCTTGGTAGGTCCCTGCAAGCACTGAGTTTCACAGCTTTGTGTGTGGGTACTGGAAAACATGGCTGAGGAGTTTTACTTGAGGCAAGAACACACTAAACTCCAGCCGTGGTAAAAGCTTTGTATGACGATAAAACTACACCATAAAGCAAGTTGGGAATATGGATGGTTTAACTGTTACACTTAAAAGGCCTAGTTGAGCTGTAAGGATGAGCTGTTTTATGTGACAGGTTTGAAAGAGTGGGAGAAAAACACTCTCTTGGGAGCCCTAGGAAGAAGCTAACTAATTTCACTTACAAGTCACCAGAGTCTTCCAGGCTTGTCTGTAATTTGACTGATAACAACAGCCAGGATAAAGGTAACCAAACTCCTGGCTGCCTGGCCCAAGCAGATCAGATTCACTTGATGCCACAACAGGGTCAGGAATAAGCATTTGGCCCACTAAAAATGCTGGTTGGCATTGCATGTGGTCTGATGCTATTTATCTGATAATTTTCATTTTCCTCTGAAGGATAAAGTTTTGACTGTGAGTGGAGGCATCTTACTGAGTTTAATGGACTATTTCCCTTAATTAAATGCAGGTTGCGTTGCATTTGTATGTCCTTCAGCATCCTGATGCGCAGTTGGGGCACACAAGGATTTAGGCACCTAGTTTTGAGCTTCTTACGTGGGAACTTCAGTAAAGTGCTTGTTCATCTAGGCTTCTAGCTATTCAGCGGTGAGAAACAGAGATCCAGAAGGCAATTCCATCCCATTAATGTAACTCATATGAGGGCTATATCTGCCTTCCTCTCTGGCTACAAAAGAGGAGCCTTCTGCAATTAGACCTGACTTTGATGATTTAGTTCAATGCCTGAAGATAAGAGGGTTGAATCTAGACCTTAATGGAAACTCTTGTGTAGGTAATGCAGAACTACTTCTTCCTAGAAACTTCTGAAACATTGCTGTAAAGCTGTAGAAACATTTTTTTGGGTGAGGATCAAAGTGTTGGGCTGCTCTCTACCAGTTAATTGTGGTACGTGCTTTTGACTTGGGTTCAGTTGGTAAGAAATGCAGTTACTAAAAATCCATGTGGCAAACCAGCTGAGAGCACTTCAAGGAAAAAAATCTGAATCTGATTGTAAAAATTAGCAATCTTTGCCCTAGGAGCAACTGAAAATGCACAGCACGAGCCAGGATTTGGCCTATGAACTGAATGAGAAGGGTGAGGGTTGAAGGGCTGGCTTTTCTTTTTTTAAAAGATTTAAATCAACAAAATTTCCAGTGCAATTAATTATTATATTGGTGCCAACCTGATATAATTAAGATGAGAGTTAGGACCAGCACATATACTTAAATGTCTGATGTACATAAGTGTCTGTATACAGGCTATGTGTATTAAAGAAACTAATTGGTTTATACTGGATTTGCAGAATGCTGCTTGCGGTTTCTGTAATTCAATTCTCCAATCTTTACTGCTTTTTTGGAAATTCTCCCAGGGTAGTTTATTAGTCGCTAGGCTTAGATTTCGGACAATAGATTCAGGTCTCTTTCTCCTTCTCTCCTTTCTTTTTTTTCTTTTTTTTTTTTTTTAAATATCTCACCGAATATTTATGCTCTGAAGGTTAAGAGGAGCAATAGTTCCAGAAAGTAAAGTTCTATATTTAACTGCAGACTAGGTGTGGTTCAGACAACTGCAGTACAAGCTCCCTCTTGCTGCTGTGCTAGTGATATCAACCTTGACCTGTTCTCTTCTTGAGCCTCCTGCTCATGAAATATGCTGAGTTTTGTGTGTGGTGGTGTTGTCGTGTGGCTCACCCTCCTTTGGGAGCAGAGCTAAGACTACAGTAGTCCTTTCTGTGAAAACCTGAGGTTAAACTTGAAAGTCTGTTCCTGGTTCAGTTTCATGTTCTTCCTTACGTCTTGTCCCAAAGATAATTTTTTTTTTTTTCTTTTCTCAGCTTTACTTCTTTTCAACCCCTCTCATTAGAACTACGAAATTGAAAATTCCCTTAGGGTTTTCTCTTTTTTAATGAAGCGGTGTTGTCTTGTCTGTCTATTTTTTTTTTTTTTCTTTTACAAGTGATTTGTGCTTCTCCTCTAATCATATGTTGGAGTTGAGGTTTTGTTTTTTTTTTCAGGCAAAAAAAATAAATCTAAGATTGGCAGCAGAATCAATGACTGAATACCCGTTTTAAGGCACTTCTACTGAGTGCCATTAGAGACTGGGGGGGGGAGGGAAGTTGAGTGTTGTTTTTTTAAGTATATGCTTTATCCAAAGATTAAATTAAAATAACTGTAAATTCTGCTCTAAACAAAATGAATAATTCATCAGTTGAAAGTATTTCAGTTTGTCTAGGGAGTAGGAACTTTGCTTTCTGGTTGAGGGTTATTTGGTTTGATCTTTTGGGTCTGGGTTTGGGTTTTTTTTTTATTTTAACACGTGTCTGTGCTCTTGAAGCATCCTTTCGTAAAGATGTATTTAGAGTAAATAAGATGATACAGATAACCTATTATTCCCATTTCATAGATGTTAAAACAGAGTCAGGTGTTTCACTGGGCTTTGTGATCCAAGGCAACTTTATTTATAAGAAAATGGGTTTTGATTTCTCCAGATACTGAGGGTATAGTTTCATGATATAGCTGAACTGAATTAACGGTTTGTCACCATCTCATCCTTAGGTGTTATCCTGTCTCATCACCCTTCTCAATTCCTCCTCCTCAGTTTCCCTTCTCCTGCCACCCTGCATTGTGTCAGCTATGTTTGTCTGATTGAAATACCAGCCAGTTCAGCTCTGTTTGGAAAAAAGCAATCTTTTTATTTTCCCCTGCATTTCATTGAATTGGTTCAGCTTGCAGTGAGGGTGTGCCAGAACTGGCCCAAGACAAATGACAGGAATGCCCAGCTGAGAGCACAGGGAAGAGGAAGTTTAACAAAAAGACGGACAAATTTTCCGTGGCGTTTTTTGATCTGCTTGGTTTTGTTCTGATTTTGTTTGGTTTGAGTTGGATGAGTTCCTGGTTTGGTTAAAAGCATGATCAAGCGGACAGTTGTGCTGGCATCA